TCAGGTATATTAATCGATATGACATGACGTGGGTTTTTTTATTAACATATTAAAATTAATTATATATATTAACTAAATGAGAAAAAAATTTCATAAGACTCGAAAATGTCACTCAACAAAATAAACTGTCTAACTCAGAGTCTATATTATTGGACCGAAGCGGGTTATTTGACATGGATCACTTACCAGCAGTAAAAGAAAAATTAATGTCTTTTTAGATTATCCACAACAAATAATTAATACTTATAGACGTACCTAACCATCGTAACCCAACGATTCTAACTCTTGTAATAAGGTACTTCCCAATCTTATAGTTAGGGGTTGAATCTTTCCATCACAAGTTGTAAACAATGTAAAAAAGAGTTAATATTTAGAAGAAGCTGTGAAAAATCAGGGTGTCCTAACGTTTAAAACACGTTTCATCGCAGTCATCAATTAAATAAATCCCTAATATGGATCCACTTTATTGATAGTTGTGATGGACGTCTCTAACTACAATTATATTAAATAAAATTATAGTTAACATATTGATTGGTGTGTCCAAATATAATGTTTTTAAGTATAGAAATATGAAAATCAAGACGTCATGGCAAAATTAGGATGTCCTAATGTTAGGACGCGGGGTTTTTTTTTTTTTTTTTTTTGAATAAATTGAAATTAGTTATATATATTAGTTAAGTGAAGGAAAGGAAAATCAAATTTGTTGGGCTTGAACATGTCATCCACATGAGATGAACGGCCTAACCTAGAGTACTTACTACTGGACTAGAGCGGACCATTCGACGTGAGTCTTTTAATAGCAGTAAAAGAAGAATTGATGTTTTTTTAGACTATACAACAAATAATTAATACTTATAGACGCGCCTAACCATAGTAGGCCAATGGCTCTAACTCTTGTAATAAGGTATGTCCCAATCCTATAGTTAGGGGTTTAATCTCTTTGCCACAAGTTGTAAACAGTGAAAAAAAGAGTTAACATTTAGAAGAGGGTGCAAAAATTCAGGATGTCCTAACATTTAGGATTTTCATCATAGTCATCAATTAAATAGATCTTTGATATGGATCCACTTAATTAATGGTTGTGATAGATGTCTTGATTACAGTTATATTAAATAAAATTATAGTTAATATACTAATTGGTGTGTTTAGATATAATGTTTCTAAGTATAGAAATATGAAAATCAAGACGTCATGGCAAAATCAGGATGTCCTAATGTTAGGACGCGGGGTTTTTTTTTTTTTTTTTTTTGGGTTTGGCTGCTTTGGCAGCCGCAACCCTCCTTCTCCCTTTAAAAGGAGGAAACTAGGGTTTTCTTAAATTTGGGTTTTGATGGGCTGCTTAACATTGGGCTGGGCTTATGGGTTTATTTTAGTAAATTTTATCCTCAGCTTTTTAATTTTTTCAATTGAGTCATTTTTTTGTTTTTTTTCTCCAACTTCTCCCCAAAATTTTTCATAAAATTTTTTTATAACGATAAATCCGAAACGGTATGCAAAAAATTCCGGTATCCGGTACGTACCGTTTCAATAACAAAACCGGTACGCATGCCGGTACGGTATTGACTACTTTGCTTTGGTGCGCTCTTTAAGCACTTGTGTAGTTGAGTCTGCAAGTTTGTAACCAACCATGGATGCCATCACACCAGCAAATTTTTTTTACGGAATTAAATACTAGAAACATTGGAAAAATACTCACGGCAAGTTGGAAATT